TATGTCTTGCCTAGTCTCATTATAGGAATCAATAAACACGGACACTTCATCATTTGTTATCCACATATTCAAGCCATATTCATAGAGTCCAGACCATAAACAAGCTCATATTCCTATTGAGAACCCTTTTGGAACGCATATGATTTTATCCGCATGGGAGATCTAGAATATGCAAAGTGTGTCCGTGAACTTCATTCAATCATACCTCAATTAAATGAGGTAATAAGGCACTGATATCCTGGGACAGTCCACGGAACATATAAGAGGTGGTCCACCCTCTGACGTGTGCTGTGATCAGTACACTCAGTGGTAGGTCAACGCCTGTATGAGAGCAAAAGCGACACACAGTATAAATAAAAATTTTCGTATTTGCATGACATCCCTATCACTTTCTGATGGGAGCGTTTTTACTCACAGAGGAGGAGAGCAATTTTACTCCTTGGTGATGGAGTAAATTTGCTCCTCTCCCAGAGTGAAAGGCGGGTGAAACTGGAGCTAGCGATTTTACTCTCTTTTTAGAGAAATATCGCTCACCTTTTCCTAAGAGTGTAGTAAAGTAATTCGCACATGGCACTGCTTCTTAGAACATCAGCGCCGTGAAAATGGTGATCTTTGGCTTTTCTGTCATCCCGTGTGCCTCCCACAGTTACGAGAAATGGCTGCCACGGGTCTTGACTGCACCAAGAAAGAGTTGGGTTTTTTATATCCGTTTTTTGGTCGAAGATGGCACGAATGGCAGTGAAATTTATCGCAGACTCGGGGCAGTTTACGAAGATAACTGCATTGGAAGAAGCAATGTTTACGAATGGATGCGAAATGCGATTAATGGATGCGAAAGTTACAAAATGGTACGACGAGTGCTGCAGACGCGGCCCGTTCGGTAAACACTTGTCGAATGATGCGACACACAGTGGATGTGTTGATATTGACTATTGGAGACCACGACCTGAAAGGACCCACATCCATAGAATCGAAGAGCACAGCAGATCTGCGGCAGTGACGGTATCGCATAGCTCCCCTTGGTTTTTTGCTCTAAAGGGTTTTGGAAAGTCACTCCCCAGAAAGTAGTAGCGAGGTGTCGAAGATTCAATTTTGACACCATGGAGGGCACTACAAACAAACAAATTAATTAATTCCTAAAATTCTATCGAATTCTCATTATTTTGACACAAAATCCATTGTTCTAATCCAAAAATGACAAACGTTATTACAATTTTAAAATGGGAAGCCACTTTCCAAACTCCCTGTACACTCTTAGAAAATTCCGAGCGTTTGGGGAGACATTTGTTATCCACATATTCAAGACATATTCATGGAGTCCAGACCATAAACAAGCTCATATTCCTATTGAGAACCCTTTTGGAACGCATATGATTTTATCCGCATAGGAGACCTAAAATATGCAACGTGTGTCCGTAAACCTCATTCAATCAGACCTCAATAAAATGAGGTAATAAGAGACTGATATCCCGGATACTCCAGGGAACCTCTAAGAAGTGTTCCAACCTCTGACGTGTACTGTAATCAGTACAGTTAGAGGTTAGTCAACGCCTATGCGAAAGCGGCACACATTATATGTGAGAATTTTCTAATTTGCATGACATCACTATCACTTTCTGAGGGCAGCGTTTTTACTCATGGAGGAGGAGAGCAATTTTACTCTTTGGTGATGGAGTAAATTCGTTCCTTTCCCAGAGTAAAAGGGGGGTGAAACTGGAGTTAGCTATTTTACTCTCTTTTTTGAGAAAAATCGCTCCCCTTTTTCTAAGAGTGTAGATCAGGTCCAAATAAGTCCACCAAATGACCTGAGATGTGAACCGATACCTCCGCAACACCTCTTCAGGGGAGTACCACTCAAAGGGGTTCAATCGATCACGGAACACACGCTCCCGAGGATCAAATGCTTCAGCTGAGTTCGGGCGACCATCTACTGAATTAGCTGCTCATTCTCTCTCCTTTTTTTGTAGCCACGGAAAAATTCAGGAGGAAAAAAAACAGTCCGTGGGCATCGGTAAGGAAATATGTCGAGTCAGAGGTATGTTCCTCCTCAGTGCTAATGGAGGTTTAGAGTTCATAAGATTGAACAAATGCGGAATTTCATGCTGCCATAAGCTGAAAATATTAGCATGCAATCCACATTTTAAATCTCCGCTGAAGTAGCTTTAAATCCACCGTTAATGAAGGTTTAAATCTAGCACTATGTTTAAGTCAGTTTCATGCAATCCACCCCAAGCCAAGAAAAAAAAATCAAAAGCAGGAAGGACGTAAGTAACTTCCATTGGTGTTTCTAACTTGTGTTTATTTTGTTTAGAATTTCCAAAGTTGGTAGCAAGCATTCTGCGAAATTTTACACGGGCCGGCTTTAACGAGTAGCGATGCCATTTACGATAGCAATTCTATCCCCTTCGCGAAGACCATTTTAGGAGACGCATGACACCGAAACCTTTCTCCAAACAGTTTCAAAAGTTTTCAAGCATGAGTCGATCAAGTTTGTGAACCCATTCCCAACTGAACTAGGTTTTCTTTGCTGGGTCAGGAACTCGTTCCTAATTAAACGCGTCATTCGTCGTTGAGCACGCCTGAAGATGAGTGCTTAGATAGTGGAGCTCATCTTCAACGTGACCTTCAGTGACAGTGATAGCGAGAAATTTCATTTGAGTCTGATTTTCATTTCATTTTGTCTCAATTAAAAATTTATCCTTCCATTCTCATATCCTCATATGCGAAAGATCGAATTTCCATTCGATCTTTCGCATATGAGAGCTTAATATCCTTTCTTTTTTATAACTACAGGTTTATTTTTTTAAGTTAAGGATAGTATATTCATATCTTGCAGTGATAACTTTTTGAGATACCCTTAACATGAGTGCAAAATTTCACCCATGCAACAGTTTGAGTGTTAGAACACAAACCAGGATACAGACAAAAACATGCGAGAGTGCGCTTTTTTTTTACCATGACTGGTTTTTTTCGTACGCGCGACATGCTGAACCTCCTTTCCGGTAAACCAACTTACCTCACTCCGATTTGAATAATTCGCTTTGTAACGGGGTGAAAGATCTAGTAATTCTTTATCTCCACCACCATTTTTTGTTTGAACAAAGCCTAGATAAGAGCTTCCGGAGCTCTGCTTTCCAGCGAAGAAGCATCCCAGAATGTATTGATAGTGACTATAATTGTCATATAAAAGCTACCTTATCGATACACCCCCTGCCATATTGTAGGGTCTTGTCGCCCTCATTATTAAATGGGTGCATTTGCGATCTTAGGCATTTTTGTTGGCTTTGCCGTTGGTATTTTCGTCAAACAATCTCAAGTCTTTATGATGGCTTGCGGCAACTGACTGGCTGGAATGTGAAACACTCCTTCAGAAGAAAAATAATTAGTATGCGTGAATTTCGGATTATGCTTTAGATGCAGGCCGACGCATATGTGCTTCACGTGTGTTTCACATCTACTTCCTATCCCCGCGACGCATGAATCCATTTCCCACACCTGGATGACATCCGTCTCACACTTGCTCCATATCTCCATCCCATGAAAAACTCGGTTCGAATTTCACCCCTTGGAAATACTGTGGATCCCGTGTGAAGCACAAGCAAATCCCATCTACTTCACACTTTTCATGGGAGATTTATACCTGATCCATATGTAATCTAAGTTTGACATTATTTCCAGGGTTGGTGCCCCACAGTTTCAGCGTCTTGCATTCTGATCTTACGGTGATGACCCACTAATTCTCTCTCCAACCAAATCCACCTAGCTAATTCCCTAACGTTGGTGTAACATCACGGAGGCACAGATACAATTCGATCAACGATTATGAAAGGAGTTTTTATACACAGGGTTTTTTCCCCACCCCATACGTCACACAGCACGGAACATCACTGACACATCCCTAGATCAGAACATTGATGAGTTCTCTGGCACGAAAGAAAAAAACAAGTGGTAGCAAGATGATCCCATCAGCCATTACAGAAAATGGAAGTAGATCTGCGAAAGACAAATGGCTTATGGAGCAGGTCATTACGTGGTCAGTCACTGGACGGGGAAAGTGAGAATATGGAATTTGCGCAGAGCAAAATGGGAGATCTCATCCTGGAGGGCTATGTCCGCAGTAGAACAAAACGAGCAATGTAGATGGAGAACCTGCCAATGGTGAGAGACAGTGTGTGAATAGGAACAATATATGGCAGGTGATGGTGTAATTCCGTATTCACTAAAAGTCTTTTTTTGTCATTCAACACAAAGTTTTCAGTGTACAAGCCGCGGGAGTCAATAATCAAAATATTATTTCTTGTGCGATTTGATTATTGGGTGAAGAATATTATGATTATTTCGCATTTCATGTTGACCATTTTGTGTAGACACAGGAAGCAGTAAAAATGATAGAAGAGGAACCGAAGTTCGTGAACATGGACATTAGGGAAATGAGAGTAGAGCACTCTCCAGGAAGAGCTTCAGGAGACAAATTGATAATAATCGGCATCATGCAATTCCCGAGTGATGGTTACAATGAAAACGCAACAACGAAGTTGAAGAATCTACTCCAAGATTCGGGAGCCTTACAAGATATTTTTTCCAGCCTGAGTGATTTAATTCCAGACTCGCTCGACTCAGATTCCCCGATCGACTTTGAAATGAACCTCGGTAAGAAGAGCTGCCATGTATTCAATAATGAATTGCTATGAAACAATTGTTTGCATACCGCCAGAGGTCAAGGGGAAAACCTTTTTTTACATTGTGCAGAGCCGGAAGAATATCTATGCGAAAACAATACGTGTCCTTCGTATTCGTTGTGCATCAATGAATCAAAGGGAAAGCCTCCTACGTGCAAATGTCAGGAGGGACTAGAAGACCTCAACACTGACTTCCCTGGCCGAGCTTGTGCAAGTAAGTTTCCAGAAATAATCTCTCGAATTTGGAACATAAACTCAGATATGTGATTCAGCTTTTCGAATGATGAGTTGCTGCGAAAATTCCTAGGTCGAACTCCTAATCTGCGAAGTGGGAAAAACAAGGGGGGGAAACTACCTCGGTACTCTAATCATTGACTTTCTGCGCCTTAAGGAGGAAATAACTTCTAGGCATCCTTCTTGAATCACACATTCCCTTCAAATTTCAAAATTGTCCAATTATTTTCTCTTCTTCTCTTTGTTAATAACCTGATTTATGCTCAGATTTCTTTAATTTAGAGTAATTAATTTTTAAATAGGACTTTATTTCACTTATCATGGTTCATTTTCTTCCACAGCGCCATGCACGGACGACTATTGCTCGAATCGAGGAAGTTGTGAACATGACATCTCCACCCTCTTGTCAAGATGCAAGTATGTCTCATTCTGGTCACCTCTTAGTTCTGTTCAATATTGAGAAACACAATGCCATAATTGGCGTATTATGCATGTTTAACAGTTGTAATCCGACAGTGATCGGGGAGCATTGTGAAACTCCCCTTGGCTGTAAGTAGACGACTCTTTTCTACTCCACTTACCACGATGGGCCATAATAGTCCACTGTGATGTCCTACTCTTCTATACTCCATGGATGATTTCCTGTCCTGATTATTTCAGTGATTTTGGGGTTGGTGGTCGGTCTGCTGGTGGTCACGATCTCTGTATTCCTCGTCACTCACTATGTCCGCAGATACATTTACAGAAGACACGGGTATGAAATTTTGCATTTTATGCAACATGTACAGAATGCATACGATAAAACACGGTCAGCACAGTCCACGCGCCGCTTGAAAAACCATATTTTGAAGAATCTAATTCCACTACTTTTGTTGAAACTGCTTCTTTCGACGTCTATAAACGATTGACTCCACGGGATGTTATGACTGCTAGTTTAAGGGGTTCCGAGAGGGAGACAGGAGTAGAGGAGGCGCAGGCATGGTGGCGTCGTCTACCTTCGACTAGTATGGACAATCCTACATACAGTCAAAGTGGAATCCCTCGTCTTCACAGGGGAAACCTACGATTCCGTCAAAGCTTAACCTATCTCCAAAATCTAATGCAACGTCGACGAGGAGAATATCCTATCACTGGCCGTCAGGAACATGCCCCTCACCCCCCTGCCTAGTCCCGATGCCTTCGTGTGAGTTTCTTCCCTCTCTTACAGTCCCGATTTTTTGTAAGCATTCCGTGGAGGTTTTCTTCATTATGCCTCCTCTTCCCATCGTTCCATTCAGTGGCGGATATAGAAATTTTTCATAGGGGGGGCGGTTCCAAAGTTCCTACCTACCCCCCACCCCCGCCTACCACCATTCCTCGTCCTTTCGCCAAGGGGAGTTTCACAATGCTCCCCGATCACTGTCGGATTACAACTGTTAAACATGCATAATACGCCAATTATAAACCAAGCAGGAGGTTCCAGGGTCGAAGACTGCAATATTGAACGATTTTCGGAAATGCAAAAGCAGAGTGAAAGGTATATTCGTATGAGGGGAGGGTGCTACGCGTCCGCTGTCGTAAGAACTTGAGTATCTATTTCACTGGCTCCAATAAAATTTAATGCAGATGCTATTTTGAATAAATGAATCAAATCCTAACCTGGCCATAGGGGGGGCGGTCGCCCCCCCCCCCCTGTATCCGCCACTGGTTCCATTTACTTAAAATTGACCTCCATCTGAATGAGTGAGGGTCAGAAAGCACATACACTTTCGAAAGCGAGTAAATTTTATGCATATATAACCATTTGGATAACTCATTCTTTAAATAAATAAAAATTTGCTCGATGTGCGTTATAGTGCAAATGTTTTCAAGTATCTTCAGAGAAAAAGAAAATCAATCAATGATTAGGCAATGATTTAATGGTAATCGTTTGAGGTGTGACCTACCACAGAACTTTGGATCTGAAGTGTGACCACGGTTTCCATGGTATAAAATACACCCTTTTTAACGCGATTTTATTATCCAAAACCACTTAGGCGGGCATATTTCGTCATTTGACTATCGGCAGGTCTCACTTTAAATTAATCGATGAACATAGACTTGGCGTCCCAAATGAATGCCTCAAACCTGTTCGTGCGGTAGAGGCCATGCCACTAGGCCTCAATGAGGTGCTTTGGCTCAGGCATTGTCCTAAGCATTTTTTTTAACCCGGAGCTGGCAAAATGCCCTGTTCATGGAGCCAGTTAACTGCGCTCTCTTTACTACTGATGATCGAGAAAAAATCTCGGCGTGGCATTGTGGCAGCTACTGCTGCTGATTGAGCAACGCTTCTCTGTACACACCAATATCCACGCTGTGACGGATTCAGGGGGGGCGACTCCCCCCCCCCCCCCTCCATGGCCTAAACTTTAAATCTTAGTTCCGTAAGGGTGAGGGACCTGCACGACAGAGTTCAGTGGCCCTGTGACTGATGGATCACAAAGGCCACCTAGGGCTACCTGGGTAATATTCCGGAAAAAATAATTTCTTTGCTTTTAAGGAGGATATCAAGTCCCCTGACTTCATCGGTTACCCAAGTAGCACCTAATAATGAATCATTATCCAGGCGTTGAATCAGCATTTAATTAAGGTTGATTCAATGTTACGGGCTACTGGGGAAATTTCATTTTTTATTTGACCATTCCACCTTTGACCTACTGGAAATGAAATGTGGGCACTTGGCACTGAGAGTCTCGTGGGCACTGAGAGTCTCTCGGTGGAGGAACTCTTCCCTCTTGCATTGGATGCGTAAGAAACCAGCATCATGCATAACTTCAAATCTCGGAAGGTTCAAACCTCGTCACACTTTCGTGGCGTTATAACTGATACTCGGTGGGCCACCATCGAGTTATATTCGGGAAGTTCGGGGTCAGTGGCTCGCCCGATAGCATGTTGGGCTTACGCGACGTAAAGCAGCAGTTTGAAATCTGAACAAATCTGGTATTTTCATCTCCAATATAGACGCCGACGTGTTTGGAACAAGGCGTTGAATAATTGTTGACTAGGTGTGGATCGAATGTATCACTGTTGTTCCATCCATGTTGCATTAACATTAATTCAACGCGGTGACCGTCACCGTTTATACACCCACATTGGGCCAACCTTCATTTGATGCTGGACCGTTCACAGTCGAAGCATCTGCAGTAAATAATTTTTTTAATGCTGACTCCATCGATGTTTGCAATTACTTCAGCCGATGTACTAGAAAGTATTTCTTTCAAGAGGAACGTCGACTTAGAGCAAATAAGACAGTGGCTGAAAGGCGCTCCGAATCGTCGCATAAAACAAGCAAAATGGCATTTTCGGCCCAAAAACTAGGAGCAAGGATTCAAGGATGCCCTGTTTTTGAGGATGAATCCAAATCATGATCACGGCGTGGAGTGAGGGCAACCTCTTATTGCAGCACAGTAATCGCGCCGATGTCCTGCTTTCGGGGGAAAAGGATGCCTCTTTCTCATCTCCGTATTAAGTTCGAATTGTCCTTGGATGGGGGGATATCTAAAAAAGCGGATTCGGAGGTTGGAAATCTGGTCCAGATGATATTAAAATAATACTTTGCTCATTAAACGGCGCATGTGCACGAAATGAACAAAATATTGAACCCTGTCATATTGACGTTGAACCATCGTGAATTCGACATTTCTTCAATGTTGAGGAAAATGAATTTTCAATATAGAATCAATGTTGACAGGCAACGTGGTTTCAACGTTAGCTGCGTTGATGAAATAACGTTGAATCAACGTTGATTCACCGTGAGTGTGCTACTTGTGAGGGAACCGAACCCCAATGAAAAATTTCTGTATCTATCACTGTATGCATGTGACCCCAACCATGGGCTTCCCGTTCAGTGACACTAACAGGCATATTCGCGGCTTATTTTGGGAGAGGGGGTGAGGAGGGTCTCCCCAAGTAGCAAGGGTTCATCCCTGGAACATCCCATTTGGATCCTACTTGGGACAAAATGAAATCCCATGGATGTCATAATGAAACCGTCCCGGGATATGGAAATCCCTGGAGCATTCAGAGGACATCCCGTAAGGTTAGAAATACTCTCGTCCCAGGATTTGGATCCCACTAAGGATTTGGTGTATGGGACGAGAGTATTTCTAACCTTACGGGATGTCCTCTGAATGCTCCAGGGATTTCCATATCCCGGGACGATTTCATTATGACATCCATGGGATGTCATTTTGTCCCATGTAGGATCCAAATGGGATGTCCCAGGGATGACACCTTGCTGCTTGGGTCTAGTCCGGGTAGACCCCCCAAAAAGTAACCGCCCAATATGCCTGTCAGGTCATCACGCAGTGTTGTCGCTACAACGTAGTGTAAGACACCACCCCACATAGAAGGTCACACCTCACACCCAAAGAGCTGTGGTAGGTCACAGGCCATACGGTAGGTCACACCTCATACGATTACCGATTTAACTAATTGAGCGCGGTCAAGAAGGTTATGCAACATTATGCAGCAGTATTATTCAATAGGATTCATGCAAATTACGCTGAAACCAATTTCCTTCTTACAATTTCGCTTTTGTTTCCTTTTTGATAGTGTCGTTTTGATTTCCATTTGATTGTAGCTTTCACTGCCATTGCCATTTTCTTGCCTTTCAATATTCCGGCTCTTCAATTTCAATCTTGATTTGTCGTTCATATGGACTAACTTTTAACCTTTTTATTCAGGGCCAGCAAGCTTCTGTGATACCTCCTTCAAGAAAGGAGCTTTCAAGCAGAGAATTGTCAAGTCCTCCAGCCTTACCCTGTAACCCTTGGCTCCAAATGTCCTCCTCCGTGTAATATCTTCGACAATGATCGTCCTTGATCTTTCATCCTATAGGATGAAGGTGGAAATTCACACGTGATCTCTTCTCTCCTTCCATCGCTGAACATGTTTTAATAATTTCCCCAACTTGGACTGATAAGTTGGACAACTCTGTGTGATACATTTAGGCAAATGTTGGCTGTCATTTTTGGGTGTGACTTCAAAAAGTAACCATGATAACTGTATATATCTAGTCTCTAGAAGTATCGATAATAAAGGTGACGACTTGATGCTGAGTTATCAATGATTATGGCAACCATGAGGATCTGATCGCTTAGAATCTTGGGCATAGGCGCCGAACCCAAAGGGGTAAAGGGGCACGTGCCCCCCCCCCCCCCGACAATGTTATTGGGGGGCAATGCCCGAAGAGAATTGCCAAAGTACAGCGAAAGTACGGCACATAGAACATGAGAAACAATATGTTATCTGACGGAAGATATGAAAATTAGGATTTTCCTATCTGTTTAGAGCTCCAACGGAGATATCCCCGTCACAACGTAAGGGTATGGTGTGGAAGGGCGAGGGCACTTGTCCCTCTCCATGCCCAGCACCCACCCCCCCTCCACTCCTGCTCGTCAAGCAGCTCCATAATAATACAGAGCTACCCCACTGGAT